CCTCCATGGATGGTGACTCTACCATTTCCCTAAGCAACCTGTTCTAGTCCTTGACAACCCTTTTGGTGAAGAAATTTTTCTTAATATCGAATCTAAACCTCCCCTGGCACAACTGGATTTAACTCCATTCACCACTACTCTTTGGGCCCAGCCATCCAACCAGTTTTTTTTACCCAGCAAAGAGTACACCTGTCGAAGCCATAAGCAGCCACTTTCTCCAGGACAGTGCTGTGGGAAACAGTGTCAAAGGTTTTACGAAAGTCTAGGTAGACCACATCCACAGCTTTTCCCTTATCCACCAAGTGGGTCACCTTGTCATAGAAGGAGATCAGGTCAGTCAAGCAGGACCTGCCTTTTGTAAATCCATGCTGACTGGACCTGATCCCATGGTTGTCCTGTGCGTGCTGTGTGATGGCACTCAAGATGATCTGCTCCATAACCTTCCCTGGTACTGAGGTCAGGCTGACAGGCCTGTAGTTCCCTGGGTCCTCCTTCCGGCCCTTCTTGTAGATGGGCATAGACGGTCACATTTGCTAACCTCCAGTCAACTGGGACCTCCCTGGTAAGCCAGGACTGCTGATAAATGATGGAAAGCGGCTTGGTGAGCACTTTTGCCAGTTCCCTCAGTACCCTTGGGTGGATCCCATCCAGCCCCATAAACCTCTGTGTGTCCAAGTGATGTAGCAGGTCACTGACCATTTCCCCTTGGATAATGGGGCCTTCATTCCATTCTCCATTTCTGTCTTCCAGCTCAGGGGGCTGGATAACTGGAGAACAACTGGTCTTGCTATTAAAGACTGAGGGAAAGAAGGCATTAAGTACCTCAGCCTTTTCCTCATCTTTTTTTTGGACGTATACCTAATTAAGTTGTTATCTCTGCCTTTGTAGGTGAAATTATCTTTATACCATTACATTAATGTGGTAGGATTTTAAATGGGCTAATATTAGTCCTTGTGAAGCAAGGGTGCTGTTAACTCTTCATGAATTTAGGGGTTTTCTGTAATACTTTTTGAACTCCTCTAATCTTTCTGTTGTATTTAATGGACTGACCAGTGTGGTGTACCCGTAGCAAACTTCATTTTTTTTTTTTGTTCAGCTCACTGACATGAAGATGAACTGGTGAAGAGGGAGGTGTATAAATTCAGAAGTAGAAGCAGGAAAACAGCCCCTTTTAGAAGTAATGATCTGCTAGCTTATCTTGATGTCCTGTAGAACCATAACCTTCAAGGGATATCTTCAGTGCTTCCTGCATCTTGTTGGTGCTGTCTTGCAATATTTAAGTATCAAATACAAATTTCTGGCCAAGATATACTTACCTTCCCCTAATAGGATAATTCTTTAAAGTAGCTGCTGAGGGAAGGTTGAAATGATTGAAAAGGGATTGTTTAGGTTTTTTTCAGCTGCTTTTAAAAGGCATATGTTACTATCTCAGCTGAGAGACCCAGTAGTCTGTCTACTGTAGCAAACTTTTTGTTTTTGCTAGAATACTCTTCTGCCCTTAATGAGGTGGGGAGGGGAAGTGTAGTCTTGGTCTTTAAAAAGAAAAAAAATTTTTGCTTAACTTGGTACAGGTTAGCAAGAATTCATCATGTAGTATGCTGGGCACTGATAACTTGGTAGCATGGATTTTATCTTTGGAAATACTTTTCTTTTTTCCTCTACTGAGAGAAGAAATCTAGATTATAGTTGCTTTTGTGGTTTAACTATTATCATGGTAAGGAACTAAGTTTGGGCAGATTTTGCAGATGACGCTTCCATGAGAGAGGGTAGTTGAACTATAGTTCCTGACACCATTATGTGTCGTGCTGCTTTTTTTTTCTTTCCCCACCTACGTACACCAGCACCAGATTGCTTAGAAGGAATTTCACAGTTTCACTACCTAGGGATTGCGGGCTGGTCCATTTAATATATGTAGGTGCAAAAGTGCTTAGGGATAACCTGGCTACCGGTCTTTCACACATGGAACCTGAAAGTGCCTTTAAATAGTACTCTGCCAGCATCTGTTTCGGAGCTCAGAGTTGTTATACATTCCCTAGTGTAGTGTTTGTCTGCAGCTTACTGCATTAGGCAGAGATAGAAAAAAAAATGCATTAAGCAAGTAGATCTGTATAGTTAGTGTTTTTGACTGCTTTGGACTAAGTTCAATGAAAAATAATATATAATAATCTATATGTGACACAAACTTTGTGAAAGGATTGCTTTCCTTTATCATTTTGAGCTGTATGTTGTCACACATGCTCCGTGGTAATGAAGACCATCGTGATCACACCACCTGAGAGAACTGAACCACCATAAGCACAAGTTAGTGCTCAAAAATACCAACTTACTGCTTCATGTTACCTCTACTTTGGAGAATTTGGTGCATGTTCTGTAACACACAACTTCATTTAGAACATAACTGCATCAACAATGTTAATGTTCAAATGTAGTTTATTATTTTGACTTCCATGTTAAATGTTAGCCTTAATTTGAATATTGTAACTTGTTTTTTATAATGGTTGGTCTGTTTTCTGGTGATGGTAGGTTTTAAATTTAACATTTTAATTCTTCAGAATATGTGGCTTGACGAGTAGTCCTTCTTGGTGTAAAATGATTTGGTTTACTGTTAATTTGCCTGTTGCTCCATGGAGTCTAACAGAGTATTGCAATTACTGGTGGGGAAATTGCTTTACCTTAGTGTCGCAATACCTCAGTGCTTTCAGGATGGCCGACTGCCACTTTTGTGCAGTGTTATGAATAGAACATGAACCAGAGTCTTATTTTTAAGATAGCATGTTAGAGACAGTCTTACCATACTGAGCCATACTCCGTCAAAAGTCTCAGTGTATGATGTTTCATAGCTGAATAGATCCCGATAATGCTGCATGCCTCATTTGCATGTTTTCCAAGGTTTCCCTCTCTTATGCCATGTTTAGGCTTTTCCTTGTGTAATTCCATCAGCTGCATAATCCTACATGTCAGCATGGTTTGTAATCAGATGCCTTGCAAAATTCTGTGGTTTAATCACTTGGTGCTTATTCTTTATCACAGTCCTGCCTCAAGTCTGTATTCATCCTTTCTCTGTTTACCTTTTTCCATTTACTCTGCCACTTCCTTCTCCTGTTTCCTGTTCATCAGGGCTTTTGCCTCTGTACAAAGCCATGTGCATTGCTACAATCTGTTTTAAATGGAGTACACTTTTTTCTCCTTGCATTATCTACCTTTTCTTCCTGGTCAGAGTTGCATTCCTGAGGCTCGCCCTTCTTATTGGCATTAAAGCCGTTGTTTGCTGTTATGTTTGTGAACATTGGTAAGGAAATCTTTCTCTGTCATAGCTATCTGAACTATTGTGTTTTTTGCTTTGGTCTGACTGTCCCTTGGCTGTTAATTGCTCAGCAAGACTATTTCAGTTTACCTCTGCAGTGCCTGGGCCTGGACTCAATAACACTATAAGGACATCATCTGCTTTCTCCTGTCTCTTTAGTGAACTTTGTTTGTTCTCTGTAACAGCATTATGTCCCTGATGTCCAGCTGCAACCCTGCCTGAAAGGGACGTGCTGGGGGGTGGGTGGGTGTGCATGCATGTGCTGATGAGGTAACAAATGCAATGTCACTGTCCCATTTCAGGAAAAAATGACTCTAAAGAACTACTGGAATCTCTTCTTCTCTTAGTGAAGCTCCTTCGTAGTTTGGTAATTTCACTTGGCCAGGCACATTCTTTAGGAGCATGCTTCCTAGGAACTTAGGATCATAGAATCATTATGGTTGGAAGAGACCTCAAAGATCATCGAGTCCAACCATATAGCCAATGCCACCATGCCCGCTAAACCCACTAAACCATGTCTCGAAGCACCACATCTAAATGTTTTTTTGAACACCTGCAGGGATGGTGAGTCCACTACCTCCCTGGGGAGCCCGTTCCAATGCCCAATGACTCTTACAGTGAAGAAGTTCTTCCTAATGTCCAGCCTGAACGTCCCCTGGTGCAACTTGAGACTGCAACTTGACTTTTTTTTATTATTTAACCAGGTTGAAGCACCCCATGAAGCAATCCTATTCCTGTTTTTTGGTTGGTTTTGTTTTGGGTTTTTTTTTTGAGGCAGCATCTTATAAATGTTAAAATGTGAAAGTTTTTAAATGAAGAATTGATACCATTAAGTACATGCTGCAATAAAATATTCTTTCAGTCTGACTCCTGCACATATTGGAGAACTACAGTATGCAGTATATACACTAATTTGCAAATTTAAGTTTTTCAGCAAATACTTTTTCTCCAGTTACTTAAATTATGTATATATTTACTTGATGCAAATTTGATTGTATACGGGCCCATCAAGCTTTCAGAGTTTAATTTTGCCTTCATTCACACAGGAGTGCAGGATTAAACATTCATGTTAGTAAGTTGTGACATGATTGTCAGTTTACTTGGTATATTCATTACTGAAATACTAGTGACTGTTTGAAACTGTTCTCAGTTTATCTATGCTTATGACCCAGGCTGATGTCCAGTTTTGAGGATTTTTATACTACATTTGATTGACCCATATCTTTTTCTTGGATGTATTTGTTAACAAATTGATCAATAGGATCAACTGTTTCCCCTGTGCTTTCAGCTTGCTCTAAGTTTTGCATAACTTAATGCAGGAAAAAGCACCTGGCCCTTTTCTTTTTTTGCCTTGTTTACAGTAAATTCTTTTTCGTGATTATCCTGTTAAAATACTATGAGTTTTAATGCTATGGAGGAAGGCAGAAAAAACATTGTCTCCTGTGCAGTTTTTAAAAAGTAATACTCTTATTGTGCAAAATGCATTAATCTGAAATGTGTAATAAGTTGAATAAGGTTGAAATTAACCTACATAAAATATAAAGGATTTTTTTAGGCATTCTCTGACACATCAACTGTCAGATATAAAAATAGCTGTTGTTTCTACAACAAAAACTATTTTTTTTCAGCAGTTTTAACTCCCAAGCTTTCTTAGTTCTGACTGTATCTTGAATCGAATTCTCTAACTTATTTTATTTATGTGATCTTATATGTTATTTCTCCTTACAGGCGCCTCCACCTCAATAAGAAAGCCACAGACAAACAGCCATATAGCAAACTTCCTGGTGTTTCACTTCTCAAGCCGTTAAAAGGTGTGGATCCTAACCTGATCAACAACTTAGAAACCTTCTTTGAACTGGATTATCCAAAAGTATGTATACTATTTAGTGTCTCTTTTTTTTTTCCTTCCTCCTGTGCCTCCAAAAGTCATATCAAGAGCTTACACTAGAACTATGCCCCTTGATTGTGTCTTGGATTGTTCTTCCTTCCACAGAAAATATGTAATTACACATTTTACATGTTGCAAACAAAACTTATTCCTTTTTAAAAAGCTGTTTATTCAGGAACATGACCAAGGCTTAGGGATGAAAAATACTCTACACTTCAGGAAGATTTATTTAATCATTATTCTCGTGTTGTGATGTTTATAGAAGTATGAAACCGTTCAATCTATAAAGACCACTTGAGAGGCCAAACACCCTCCCCAATTAACTAGTACTCTCTAACACATCCTGTAAAAGAAAACACTTAACTGATAGCCTGAAACTTTGTGGTGGTTCATAGTGATGGCTCATGTAAGGAAGAATTCCGCAATGATGAGGTGGTGTACCTCACCAAGTGTTGACAGGTAGGATAGTCTCCAAGCCACTTATCAGAGTTGGGAAACAAATAGTTAATAAAAGCTTACATTTGCTGTTGAACACTGTTTGACTTTGTAATGTAAATGATAAGTGTGTCAAATGCTGTCCTTGCTCTATGAAGCTTAGAACTTCAAGGAGAGATCTGTAAATGCTTGCTATATTGTTCACTACTTGGTGTATGCTCCTGTGGATAGAAAAAGGACTAAATCTTCTACTGCATATCTCCTGAATTCTAAAACTTGTAATTTACTTTTAATAAAAACTCTTTTCTCAGTTCGTCTTGAAACTGTTTCTGACACTGCTGCTTTAGTTGTAAAAGGTCAAAGGTATGTGTAAGCTCTACTGCAAGTTTCCTTTGTGTGTTCTGGCAAAGAGCTTTAAACTTACTCCTACATAGACAGGGTATACAAACAAAAGACCCCAAACCTCACCATTTGGAACTTACTAAAATTTGGATAGTTTCTCTGTAGTAAAGTTCTGGGCCTTCTGAAAAGCTTCAGGCATGACCGTTTGAATCCTTTTGACTCAATAAAAGTGCAATAAAGATTAAGTGTGGCCAAGATAAGTTTAAAGCATACTTGGGCATGCTGTGTATGCCAATATTGCAAACAGTGCAAAGAAACTGCAACAGTATCTTAAGCTATTTTATTACTACAATGAGCATCAAAACATTATGCAGCTGAAACACTTGACTATAAATACAACTTGTTTGTGAATTCAGAAAAACACTTATGCTGGATCTTGCTTTATGAGAGATAGTCTTGACCTTTACTTCTGATAACTTAGTATGTATGGGTGGCAATCTTAACGTATTGCTATTCCACACAAATCTGAATTTCAGGTAACAATAGTGACAATCGTATTTTTCCCAAGGAGAGTGAGAATAGAGGTATGAATACTTCAGTTTACCGGGGCACAGATTATGCAGTACAAGCAAGATCCCCAAACTGTTTGAAAACACTTCTGCACAATAACTACAAAAATACTTCATTTAAGAGATGGACACTACACCACAAAAATTAGAGGAGTATTGCCTGATATTCGAAGTTAGCTGTCCAGGGAAAAATTATTAGGAAAGAATAATCTTAAACTTGTTCCAGTGAAGCTGAGTTCAACCTGCAGTGATACTGATTCACTGGTTCTCTTCTGTGATACCCGATGTGTGAAATAATCTCATCTCGCATAGAAGTCAGTTATGCAGCTTCTAAACTGCAGAACTTACATGTAATATTTTTATCAGTGACCAGTTCTTGCCTACTGTACCTATCATGATTTTTGGAGAAATCTTTCTATTTATGTGTCCTGGTTTCCAAATGAACCTGATTGCTTATCTACATAAACATTACATCTTTGTATTTCTTCTGCTTTAGTCATACATTTTGTGGTTCTTTACTTTGTTACTGCATATAAAGGCCATTTACCGTGAATTTTTGTTTTCAAATATTGGAATATGGAAGGTTTTTTATTTCTGGTTGAATTTCTTAGAGAGTATGAATATAGAAGTGTCATTGCAACTGTGAATTGAAGATCAGTTATTTAATTACTCACAAAAATAGTTGTTCTTTTACATATTTAATTGGATGAGCAATAAAGAACTAATTTCTTCAGTTGGTAATTTCTGTGGTGTTCATGCTGTCAGGATCATTCTGTTGTGGTGGAAGGACCTGTCTGCTTAACAAGACAGGTCTTTTACCCCTTAAATTCCATTTTCCATGCTGGTAAAATGATAGGAATCAAATCCTGTTTGGTCTTTATGCAAATTGGTTTTGAGTTTGCATTCTGAGAGGTAAAGATGTGTTTGTCTGATAGGTTGTAGTGTTAGACCAAGTCTTAGCAACTCCCATTTAGTGGTTAATGTTTTTAAATTTCCACAATATTCTGAATGCAGTTAGAGTCACTGGGGTTTTTTGTGTTTAAAAATACCATATTTTTTTTTCTGGAAGAATGTTTTTATTTAACTTAATGTCTTCTGTTGTATGAAATACCTCTTACTGAACAAGAACGTCAGAGGTTGTCATCCTTGAGCCCACAGGCAACTTTTGAAGTTCAGATTACTTTTTGCTTAAGTAGTTTACAGAAAATAAAGCTCAGTGAGGTGGCAGAATAGTATGAGGGAGAGTAAGAACTGTTTTGATTGCCGGTTGGGACTCTTATTTACAACTGTCATCAAATGAGGTCCATGAAAACTGTTTTTAATGAGATTTTAAGATCTTGGACTGTAAATATGGTGTCTAGGTACTTTGATCAGAAATTTGCATTTTCTGAAATTTGTTCTTTGGATTGGAGCTGTAATAAGTTGTAATAGTTTAGTAATTTTAACAGGGAGAGAGGAAGGTTATAGTAAGTAAGGAGTATTCAAGGAATTTGTTGCTAATGCAGAAACAGAAATACCTCCATCAAAGTTTGCAAGCTGTCTCAAAACATTGAGTGATTCTTAAAATGCTGCTTCCTCACCCTATCTGTAGCTCATGTGTAACAAACATGTAGCTTGATTACTGAAATAACTACAGTTTTCCCTTGCCTCTTGTTGGTTTTTTTTAACCAGTATTCTATTAATGAGGAAAGTGTACATATACATTACATATGAATATACGTGTTCCTGATCTTAGCTTTATTATACAATTAAGCGTATATGTACTGCATTCTGTGGGTTGTCCTCCAACTCTGTTCTGCATATGCATCTACAAAGTAAAGGAACGGAAGGTGTAGTTCAGAGATAGGCAGTCAAGTGTATCATAACATCATTCCTTTAATATTTTGTGTGCTATAATTTTATTGACTATAAGACTGGATTTAAGATCTATATGTGAACAAAAATGAAAGTGGAAATAAATTTTACCTTGTATACAAGGATGTCTTGCTTCATGTGTAATAGAAACCCTTCTGATCATAGGAAAACTGATGTTCCTCCTTACAAGAGTCTGTTGGGATACAAGCTTGGTTCTTTTTTTTAAGTGCTTTTTTGTGCATTGAAAATAGTGTTATTTAGCTGTGAAACAATCCCTTTGGTTTTGTTTTTCATTTTGTAACAGTGCTCTTTATTTTTTTCAGTTTGGTACACTATTAAGCTTTATTCCCTAGACCATATTGATATTAAGTGTGTTTAAATATATATGTGTGTGTATACATTTTTGTTTTTACTAGTATGAAATACTGCTCTGTGTACAAGATCATGATGATCCAGCTATCGATGTGTGCAAAAAGCTCCTTGGCAAATACCCGAATGTTGATGCTAGACTGTTCATAGGTAAGCAGTGCAACTCAAAGGTAGGACTCTTCTAAAATTTTTTTAGATCTTCATCTCCATATACAGAGTTCTAAAAATAAATAGTTGTCTTGTTCAGCCCATGTTGGTTCTGTAGCTTAATCATCGGTTTGGGATAAAGAAGTAAGCTTGTAGTCACAGTCTGTGATATCAGTCCAAAAAATCTCTAGGAAGAGTGATTTATGCAACCCCTGCTACTTTTTCCTTCTAAATCTGAAACAGTAGTTTAAATCCTTTCTTTCACTGAACTAAACTTGCAGGAAGTGACTTGGAGTTGTGGCTGTATTTGAGCTTGAGGTCCTGCAACAATCCTTTTTCATCAGCTTAGACTGTAGGGCTCTTTCTTCACTTTACATTTGAATTAGAGGAGGGAAGGGATATTAGAACTAGGTAGTAGAATGTAATTTTTTTCTCTGACATGAAACAAACTAGACCATGTCTGTCAGTT